GAAAAGGATCAAACAGATGTAGTAATAAAACAACCGGAAAAGCGCATCAAACCCACCTACAGGCGTCGAAAATGTAGCGAGTTCACAACTGTGTTATGTAGGGCTACAGACTCCCTTCAAAATTGGCCTTCAAACTGATTGGTCAGTACACCCATTGGCATTAGGGAAACAATTAACGTCAATGCTTGAAGGGCACAGACGTATTAACTTTACTCCCGCCTACTGAAGTAAATTAATGCAGTAACGTTGACTTGTCTGTAAAGTGGCGAAAAAGGAATATTCATGTGTGTGTAAACTGATTATCGCTGCGCGAATAGTTGCTCATTTTCTGCGCTTAGTTTTGTTATAATTTGCAAAACTATGCCAGGTAATGAGAAAACCGGACGTAAAATATGTACAAAAGAATTATCTAAACTGCACAAACAGAACGTCTACTTTAATGTTCGCAGCATCCGTAAGTATAAACATTAGTAAGTGACCTGAAGAGTAGTCAGTTCTTGCACAATTATGCCGCAGATAAAATTAAAAAATCTATGTGGTCCACAAACGCCAATGTGAGTGCACGGAAACGTTCAGAACTAAGTCTCTGGCATTTTACAGGCCAGTAAGGACGACGATACGACTTGCAAATACTCTAGCAAAAACCAAGGAAAGGCGAACTACTGTTTGAAGTCGCTATACAAGTGTACTTGTAATGGCTGTGATCAAAGGCAATGCCTATTACCCTCACCAAGTGAACCGAAATGCCTGATAGAGCCGGCCTCAGTTATGTCACGGATGGTACCCCTGCACGTATGACGATGGGCGTCTTATGTTGGATATCGCAGACAGGTGTGTAAATCGAAGGATGCTAAGGCTAATTGAGTTATAGCCCTAACGTCTGCGATCTTGTCTCACAAACCTGCTAACAATCATGGAAAGCTGGACATTATCTTTGGAAATGGGTTCGTCGGTCGATGCTACCTACACTGACTCCAGCAAGGCATTCGACAAGGTTCCATACAGACAACCAATATCAAAGCTGCTTCAAATGGGTGTGACTGGAAATCTACTCAAATGGTTAGCCAACTTTCTAACATGCAGGC